TGAAACAAAGCCAATTTTCCTTTCATATAATAAATAATCTTTAATATCTTTAAAATATTTAAATATACATATTTGTGTACATGCAAACATTAGTATGGACCTACATACATACGTAGTTAAATGTTTTTATACGTAAACATCTAAAAGAGGTTATTTACTAACTAACTAATCTCACCCCTCATACACAGCAAAATAAGCAACATTCCACTGTTAACTATAACAGTCGCTTTACATTTGCTTTTATACTCGCATTTGTGTTTTTGTTTCGCGAGAGTATTACTGTTAGAACACGTGTTATTTGATTTTGGCGTTCATCCGCGCTCGCACTGGAATAAATCAGCTGGTTATTTATGAGTTTGCTTTCCCATAAGAAATACTACATCTCTAGCACGTAGGGTGGTTGCGGTTACTTATGTATGTACTAGAAATGTTAAACCCGGATCCCGGGATCCCGGCCTTTTTAAGGCCCCAAAAATCCCGGGATTCTTGGCAAATAATCCCGATATTTTCGGGATTTGTAATTTGCACTGATGGCAATAATAGAAACCACTTTTCTTGACCAGTATTGGCTATATTTCTTTTTTTTTATTTAATAATTTATATTGTTTTGTAAATGTCTAGCTTATTATACATACAACACCGTGCGATAGTAAATTTTACACACTAAAATCAATATATTCGCGAGACCATGGACCCAAAATAGTAAAATTGCGTTTTAGTTTTTCACTCTGCGTCAGTAATTCAAAAATTATTTAAAAAATTCATAGATATGTGCTTAGAGAAGAAGTATGGCTATCAAATTAAAGCGAAAATCCTGTAGAATTTAAACAGATTGAAGTTTTTGGTGCAGAAAGACTGGTAAGTATTGAAAATGTTCTTTTAAAATTTTATCCTTGAAATTTCGCAATATTTGTTTTTGCAAAAGTTACATGTTAATGACTTATTTAAACTAGATAACATCCTCGAATTTCAAAAATTACCTATTCGGCCTTGTGAATACAAAAAATTTTAATTTTTTAAAATTCTAAAGAAATTTCCTTTTGCTTTTGATACCCATACTCTTATTATACATTGCATTGGAATTAATCATATCTTTGAAATTACGAAGTCCTTTAAAAAAAACCCTGACGTTAGAGAGAAAAAATTAAAACGCCACTTTAAATAAAAAAGTAGGTTTCAAACCCATTTTTTATTGTTTATTTTATGGTAGCAGAGCTTCTCAAACAATATAGAAGCAATTTTTTCGATTTAAGTTGTTGAATCCCGGGATTGTGATAACGACATTCCGAAAATCCCGGGTCGGAAAAGGCTGAAAAATTAACATCCCTTATATGTTCATAGTATGTTGGCAAGACTTTACTGGCAATGTGATTTGGATATGAAATGCAAAATAGTCTGATTTCTCTTATCGTGGAAAAATAGCACTGTATTTGTTTTAGTGGGCCGCCTTGACCAAGTCTATAGACGAGCTTTCTCTATTTTAGGGTTGGAAGTTTATATCTCGGCATAAAGGATATCACAGTGTAATTAAGTAATCATCCGCCCCTCTAGACCCGTTTTTAACAACACTGGAGCGAAACGCCCTCATCTAAAGTTGTAAACAAAATAATTTTGATTCGATAAATTTTTTCCAATGAAAGATAAGTGACTATTATCTGAACTTACGTATTTGTCTAACTGTATAGCTTTAAAAGGAAAGCAAGTAATGATTTAATTCAAACAAATACGCGTACATCGTCAAAAAAAAAAAAAATACAAGAAATCATCGCAATTTTTTAGCAACTTCACACTTGCACTTTATTATACTCAAATTAAATGGGCCGTATGAATATAAACGAAGCAATTGCATTTTCTTAAAATTTCAGACCTGTTATTCGATTTATTCAAGTAAACACGTTATAGAAATACATACATACATACATACATATGAGCAAATCTCACGAGTTGTTTTTTCAGTTCCTTCTCTCGCCTGAAAAAAAAAACGCCAAAGCATTATTCTTGCATATATTTCAATTAATGGAGTTCCAGAAAGAAGTATAATAAAAAATAAATCAAGCATTTGAACAATTTTAGCCTTAAAACGGTTATTTAGGCGAAAAAGTACCGAGATTGCACATTTTTGCAATGGCACACGAAAAAATCATAACAAAGAGGCAATGAACGTTGGCATCAACATATCTGTGAAGTTTTAAGAGTTTACCATGAAATTAAAAAAATAGTAGCATGCAGAAGATCTGTCGCAGCTATTTTGGTAATTTTTGGAATTTTAAGTTTTTTTTTAATTATAACAATTTTAGATACTTCAAAATGTTAAAATTAAACGTTAAAATGTTAAGTTTTAGCTTTCCTTTTCTACCGTGCCCGCCTGAGAGACAATACACCGTCTAAGCTTATCGGCGCTCGAATTACTGTCCGGTATAGTTTGTGTGCTTCCGCGCACGTTGCAGAAACTAATTGACTTACTTGCCCATTTTATTGCATTAAGAATGGATTTTTTCCAAGTATTAATCGAAATAGAATAAAATGAAGATATCGAAAATAGCCTGAGATCACCAAAGCGAAATAAATTTTAATCAACAATGAACTTACAGATGTGTAATTTGAATATGTTACCAAATACAATAAAAACTTTCTGGAGCTAAAAAAGTGCTAGATAAATTTGAAAAGAGCTAAAAAAGGAGCTCGGAGCTAAAAAGAAAAATAAAGAGCTAAATCTAGCTCCAAAAGCGCCAAAATGGCAACACTGCATGTAGCATGTAATAAAACTAGTGTGTGACCAAATGAAAAAAAAGATGACTAGGATTTAAGAAACTAAATCCCATGTTTACAATTTTTATTGGCACTCCTAAAATTCATTATAAAGTTGTTATATATGTACATAAAATAAGGAATAAAGTATAAAAATCTTAAATACTCTTTAATAAAATGGCTTTTAAGTTAAGGCGTGCGAGTAAACGTGTTCGATGACTGCGTATGGTGCTACGGGGCGTATACGTTACATACGCAACTACGGGCATATGAAAACGAGTGGTTATTTTTACTTTTTTTTAAGTATAATTTAGTATATAAAAACTGAAGATAATGCATTTTCTAAGATACATAAGTGTACCTACATTTTCGACCAAAAACACGTTTTTGCCGAAAAATGTCATTTTCACCAGTTTTGACTAAGTTTCTTTAAGAGACTTTACCTTAGGTTTTTTCAACAACTTATAACAAAAATTTGCTCCAGCTTTTGCTAAAATGTATGTAAGTAAAAGTACATTTTTGCCGCATAATTTCAAAATGCCAAATTTTGAATTGTGTCACATTTCAAACTTTGTGAAAAAATTCAGCAAATTTTCACAACAACAACAAACTTTGTATTAATAATTAAAAAAATTCTAAGTATTTTTCAAGAGGCTCAGAATCCGCGTTGAGTTTTTATAATTTTTTTTTGCTGACGGTGTTATTTTCTTTAATACAAAAAACTTTCCAAACATAGTAGCATGGCATAGAAGAAACAGCGTGACACTGTCTGCAAGAAAAAAAATCTCAAAAATCAACGGTATTTTGTAGATACTTCAACCTAGAAAATTGTCGTTGTGCAGCTTTGTTTAATTTATCTTCTGTACAAATTTAGAAGTTGAGTTCCTTTATTTTACTGAAAATGTCTTACGAAACACAAGTAAGTTTTAAGCAAAAAAATCAAACCGACTCCAAATCTCATATATGTAAAAATTTAATTTTTAAATTTAATTTCCTCATGAACCAATGATCCGATCTAAGCCAAATTAGTATGAGATCACCCTTTTCTTAAAAAAAAATAGATATTGGTTAAAGTGGTCCAAAGTTAAGCCGTAATAGACGTTTTATATCGCTTGTCAGAAGAATTAACTATTGTATTTAAAAATTAAAGCAAGAAAATGCAGTAAAACAGCGAAAAATGTTTTACTTCGTCTTAACTGATTTTGTAACAAATTACTATTTTCTCTAGGGCTTACTATTTTTATTCCATTTTTGCCAATAGCACTTGCCCGCGTCTCATAATAATTTTCAATTCTGTTGCTAGTTTTATGTTTCACTTAACTGGCAACATTTTCACCTGAATTTGTCACAGTGCAAAGAGGACCATCCATACCCACAGTCACTTTTCTTTTAACAAAAACTTAAATTGGGAGTAAATAACCAGTTGACATTTTCTATTACCTCTCAAATAACTCCCCTTCCAGTCGAACAACATTTGTAAATATGTACTTTGTATGTAACTACTTATGTTTACGCTAGTGTACCTGTGCAAATCAAGGACGACACCGTCCAATGGCGTATCAGATACGAATATGTCTCCACAAACAAAACAAAAGGATCACTTATATAAAAAATAACAGCAACAAAACCAAAACAAAAATCAAAACCATAGTAAAGCAAATGACAAAAAAAAAATCCAACAATTATCGCAATACCGGAATGTGCGCAAAAGCTGTCGTCCCACAAACAACCCCACCACAGAGCAAGTAGCTGAAGGAGAAGAGAGCATATAAGTAAGTGACCAAGTGAGCAAGTGAGCGCCAAACGTTAGGCACCTGGAATTGAGCGTGGTATGGTGGAGCAACAGTGGAGAGCACTTTAGTGAACATGTGTGCGTATGTGTATGTATTTAGGTAGGTGCCAATGAAGAGTGGAATGAAAAAGCCGGTCTCATCGCCACTACAACCATATGTGTTGAGCGAGAGAAAACCAGGCATACATATGGAAAGTCCCATTTGGGCAGGCCGAACAAACCGGCAGCAATGCGAAATGCTCTCTGGCGGATTTGTGCGCCTTCGTTGGGAAATTTTGAAAAGTGCGCAAGGCAAAGGGGTGGACCTAGTGAGCAACAATAACAAAGGTATCACAACAAGAGTCAGCAACCACCAAGCGCTTATGTGCACATATTTAGGGAGCAACACGAACAACAATGCAACACTAATATCAACACCAGAGACGACGACAAATTTTTAGTGGTTGCGGCCGGGCGGGCGATTCATTTTACAATTTCTCAGATTTTTCATTCATTCGTCGAATAAACGTCGACGTTGTCGGTTCGTGCAGACGGTGGCATTTTTGCGTATCTTTGTTAATAAGAGCAAAAAAGAATTCTATCTGCTAAATACTTAAGCGAGCTCAAGCAATTTTTAGCGACAGCAATAGAAGCAACAACAACGTACGGTTGCGATATCATTATTAAAATATTCGATGCTAATTAGAAAAAATAAATCAAATCAAAAAAAAAAAAATTAATTTGTGTGGTGTTAGCAAAGCGTTAATTGCAATTTGGCAATTACTAAGTAATTGTGGAAGCGAAACTAAAACAAAAAGAATAAATAAATAAATAAAATACACAAATTCATATTAACAAATTAGTGCTTTTGGAGCGTGAAATATTCGACGTTAAGCCGGTTTTCTTGTAGTGGGATAGAGATTTGTTATTTGTTTCGTGATTTGACGCCGCGAAAGTGCGTTTTCAATCAACAATTTTATTTGAAAGAAAAATACAAGGCAAAAATTTTGTATTGTAACAAAGCGCAGACATACAGCAATCGAAGTTAATTAACATCGAATTGTGGCAGCCAGCAACAGCAGAAGCAGCGCCAGCAAATCAACAACAATAATAACAAAAAAAAAAAACACAGTGGCAGAAGCGGCCAGCAGCAGCGACGGTAGCACAAAAGCGAAAGAGCGCAAATTAAAAGCAAATAACGAATAATTGAGAAATCACATTTGTGACTACGCGTTAATTAAATAACAACAACAGCTACAACAACAGTACGAATTGAATGCTTGTACAAGCAAAATCAAACAATCAGTGTAAAGAAAATACATAAAATCCGCAAACAAGGAAAAAATATTCCATGTAAAAAATTAACACATCAACAATAGTGAAGAAGTGCTAATACGAGTGAAAAAATAATTATATGTACATAACATAACGAGCTGGATAGAGTGCGCAAGAATTGCTGAAAAGTGTATGCAACGAAAATTGTTCGGATAGAAGGTAAAGACATCAGTGCAAATGCATAGTAGAGATTAATTGAAGAAATGTAAAATCAGCTGATAGGCCAAAAAAATAGATATTTTTTTTGCATGGCCAAGAAAAAACTTCAGGAAGCAAAACACACAATAAGATTACGATAAGATTAGAAAAAAGCAAGAAAAAACAAACAAAAAATAATAATAAAATAAAACAGTAAATTAAAAAATTATATGAAAAGAAAACAACTAAAATAAAAAAAAAAATTAAATAGAAATATAAACAGATAAAAAATCAATATTATAAAGTAAAGCAATTAGAAATATAGAATAATTATAAAATCAAATCTGATAAAAATAATATATAAATTAAAAACAAAACAAAATATGTAAAAAAATAAAAAAAAAACAATAAACTAAGAAATATAGTAAAAAATATATAAAAAAATAAATAAAAATGTAAAGTAAACAAAAAATAAAAACGCAAACGAAAATATTTGATTGAAAAATAAAAGAAAAAGGTTAAAGAAAAAAATAAAGAAACAAATTTAATTTAATTTAATGAATTAAAGAAAAATTAAATAAAAACTAAAATTTTAATATGAAAAATATACGAAAATAACAACAAAATTATAATAAATACATGTATATGTAATATCTAATTAATAATTAAATAAAATATCCATCAAACTGAAAAAACGAAGTGAAATAAAATAAAATAACATGAACAACATAAAATTAAATAAAACGAAAAGAATTAAAATATGGAATAAAATAAAGCCAAATTAATTAAAGGGAATTAAAAAGATATTTAATAAAACCGAATAGAATACAAAAATTAAAATACTAAAAACATTACAATTAAATAAACAAATAAAAAGGTTCAGATAAATAATACAGTGGAATTGCGATTATTCGTAATAACCCGGTGGTCCCTTGCAACAAATCGCATTGATTCGAAAAATTTCCATACATTTAAGTTCCGTCGTTCATTGGGTAGTTTTTTTTTGACAGTGCAAGTTATGTTTCACCTCTTTTAAAAACATAGTATGTAACTGATAGTTGGCGGCCGTTGTGGTGTACTGGTAAGCAGTGCGCGCTACCATTCCGCAGGGCCGGGGTTCAAGCCCGGTCCAATCCAACATAAAAAAGGGGTTTTTCTCTAATAGTGGTTGCTCCTCAGCAGGCAATGGCAGACCTCCGAGTATATTTCTGCCATGAAAACCAATTTCTCATAAAAATACAATCGCCTTTCTGAGTCGGCGTAAAACTGTAGGTTTTCCCCTCCCCGCACGCTACAAAACGGAGGAGAAGCTCGGCCAAAGACTAACGTACATATGCGTAAGCGCCAATCTATTATTATGATGCAATTGGTAGTTGACAACCTTTTACTACTCGTAACGAAAAGTTACATCGAGCACAATTCCGTTCCCTTGCGATTACAAAATATCGGGATTCCACTGTAATAATAATTTTACAAAAAATAATAAAAAAATAAACCTAAATAAAGTATCGTGTAATTAATTTCAAAATAATTAAAAAAATTTACAAATTTAAATAAAATATTATGAAGTTCATAAGAGGCTACTAAGATAATAGGCCTGTTAGAGTCTATCCATAAAATTGTTCTATAAACTGGGTTTAAACTCAAACGCATACAATTATTTTTTAAAATAAAATAGTATAAATAAACCAAAATTGAATACAAGAAATTTGAACCCAAATATTTGGGATTTATCAACATTAAAAGGCTTAAAATTTTCATACTATAATCAACATTTGATAATTAATAGTGAGCAGTTAAATTATAAATTGCATTTTCTTTGAATTATGAAAAATAATAAAAAAAAATTAATCAAAATGAGGAAGCTATTTCTATAAATGACAAATAATCAGCGTTGAATTGTAATTAGCTAAATCGTAATTGCGCGTTGGGTCCGACACTGACAATCGATATTGTTTGTGCTAAGTGTATTATATATACATATATGTATTTATATATATAAAGTGCATTATATGAGCCGCTTATTTTGAAAGTGGCATAAGTCACTTTGTACCTCTTGATCTTAAATGACCGGTTACTTGTAACAGAACGCGTCGGTTATTCGTTCAACTTCATCAACCAAAGGTAGAAAGTTTTGTCGTTAGTTTATGATGATACAACGATTTACAGATGCATCCAGTTACAAGTAGCCGGTAATTTAAGCACAAGAGGTACGAAGTGACTTATGCCACTTTCAAACAAAACGGCTTATATAAAGAGTCGGACATTTTGAAATTTTTCTAAAGTCAAACGCGCGACTTAATAGAGAAACATTTCACTCGAGCCTTATACTATGTTCACGTTGAACCATCCATAAACTGGAATTTAACGTTTTGAGTTTATGAACAACTGTCAAGTGTTCTCATTGGGGTGTTTAAGAAACTCAGAGTTTAATTTGACAGTTGTTTGTTTACTGTTCAAATTTGAACTGTTCCCGTATCCCAGGATTTAGACAAAAATAGTCCGCAGTATTTGTGGTCTAGAATACCAACCGTTAAGCTATTAAAAAAAAGATGTGGCTAGATAGAACTTTTCATGCTGATTTCAACCATACCAACATTATTTGGAACAAATGAACACCAAAACCAATAAAAGAGGTCAAAGTTAAACTTTTATATTTCTTATATTCATAATATCTCAGAAACTACTTAAAGGATCACAAATGCTTATGCAAAGATAATTTAAATACTTTTACTCGACGTATATGGTACAGCCCTTTTTAAAAGAAATTTGAAATAAACGCCATAAAAAAAAATACTCATATATATATATTTTTTAAGTATTTCTGGCTTAAAAATATAAAAATGGAAAAATTATGTACACAAGTGAAAGGCCCATCAATTACCTTTATTTTGACATCATTAGTTTTTTTAATGGGTTATGTAGTTCAGAAGATATTTTAATTTAAAATAATCAAAAATTCAATTTTAAGCATTAAAATCTTTTTAATTCCGCCAAATAATTTTATGGTTAAAATCAGCACGAAAAGTTCTATCGAACCATATTTTTGATATTCGCATAGCTTAACTGTTGATATTCTAGACTTATGTGTACGGAACGGCCTCTGACTATATCCTGTAGTACGGTAACAGGAAAATTGTCAAAATGTATTAGTGCGGCCAATTTGTTGTTCTGCCAAATTACGTCAAGAAAAAGGGTTGCATTCCATAAACACCAAATAAAAGTGCTGTTTAAGGCGAGTTTATCGAAAATTATTTGTATGGTAAACTCCGAGCTTAAGAGCAGAGTTTGGCGTTAAACTCTAAAATGGCCCATAACCTCGAGTTAATGGCTCCACGTGAACATATTTAGTATTACAATGAGGCAAATAATTTACGATCAAACGATTAAGGTGTTATTGCGCGTTGGCCCATATACTTATTTAAATGCATTTCCACTCATCTGACAAAAGCGCGACAGCGCAATTACGATTAAGCAATAAACGTTTTATAAGAAATACAGAGCCTTCTCTTTTCTCCTTGGGAAAGTTAAGTCAAAGTAAAAAGACACATACTGAATATTAAAATTTTGATTTTGACTAAGAATTTTTGTGTTATACAAAAGTTTAGATTATGCCGTTATACGTGGAAAATAATACCATTCCAACGTTCTCCACGTGAGCGTTTCAAGAGCTCAATCCTTTTGAGGTAATTTTCGATTACTTTCAGTCAGTCATAACCTGACTGACACTTGCTCGCAAAAACGACCTTTCGTGTAGCCGAACAAAACTAAATGCAGAGGCGTTTGAACGCAGGACCTTAGCGGCCAAGCCACAGCGCTGAAACTCGAAATTACGCGTCCTGGAATTTTCTCCCACAATGTAGCCTTAACTAGCCGCGTTGAGTGGCATGTGGCCCCGTCTTATTATACGTGCTCATATTTCGACCCATTTGCTTGACAGTGACATTTGACAAATATCAAATGGCAAGGGTTAACTTTCCCAAGAGCGAGTTTATTGTGGTTAGTATTTATAGGAGAGTATTAGAAAGCTGTATAACCAGTAATTATAAACATTTAATATGAAATACGAAAAAAAATAAATTAATTTAATTAGTTTATTATTCTAATTCATAGCTAGTTTCAAATCAGCTCTAATGTAGTAAATACAAAAAATAAGCAAAAAAATCTAAAAATAGCAACTAAACTGTCAGTGGACAGCAAGTGTCAGCAACATATTACAACTTTAACAACTTCATTAACAAACTGTCGGCGGCAAATGCAACAACAAACAAACAAACAAAAAAAAAAAAACACGCACATACTTATTTTAGAAAACAACAACACCAACAACAAACGTGACCGTGTGAAATGTGATCAGAGTGTTAAGAGACGTGACGCCGCGATCGCAATCAACACTGTCAGTGACGCTGACGCTATCAGCGACATCGACGTCAACGAGAACAACAGAAACAATAACAAAAGCAGCAACAGCAGCAACACAAACAGCATTAGTGACAACGACAGTAGCGGCAACACATAACTGACATGCAACAGCAACAGCAACAACAAAAACAACAACACCAACAACAACAAAAACAACATCCACAGCAATAAACATAAAAGCCACAAAACACTTAGATGCAATTTTTTAAAGAAGCTGATTAGTAGTGGAAGACTGGCTATATGACTGACAGACTGACTACCTGACAGGCCATGTCAACCGCGCGACACGTGAACTACTAGAGAAGAGGAAAGAAATACTACATATATGAAGATACAATACAACAAAGTAACATACCGTTAATGCGCGTGTCGACAGCAACAATTGTGTGCAACAATCACTGGACGGCAGACAGCAAGTGTGAACGAGGATATTTGTCGACTAGCGAGACACGCTCTTGGCACCAAGTCTACATATGTGGGTCGTTCTTAAAAAACATGACCATTCTGAATTTTGTAATTTTTAAAAATTAAGTTGGCCAAATATGTTTATAATTGGCCTCATGTGGTTACGGATGGTATCAACAATAGGAATCCATAACCAGCAGTATTTTTTTTAATTTTTGGAGTTTTTGGAGTTAATAAGTCACAGAGTGGACCGGTAACAGAGGGGACAAATTAACTCAAAAATACCATATTTTAGCTTTTTATTCGAATTTTGGAGAATTTATTTGTCCACTTAATTAATGTACATAAAATATTTATAAAAAAATTATAAAATAAATAAAAAATCACTTTACTCACCGTTTTTCAACAGTAACAGAGTTGACACTGAATAAGGGTACGTACCCGGCATACAATTGGGTTCCTTACTCAACAACGCACTAAACAAGACTGAACAGTTCAAAACACATTTTGTTGATTTTAGCTAAGTTATGATGGAGAAGCATAAGAGAAATATACGCGTCATAACGTTTAACA